TATACACCCTCTTCATTTCCATACAGTAACCCTGTCCCCTCCACGGTTCATCCTTTACGTTCTCCCCCCTCTCCCCCCCCCCCATTTCTTTTATCATACTCCCCGACCCCTCGGCTCCTTTCCCCCCAATCCCTTTCTATAACCCCAGCTGCGTGTTTCAGACTTGTAGGTTCGGTATAGCGTCCGTGGAGTCTTCCATGCATCCCCCCCATTCTTTTATCTTTCGCCCCCCACCCCGCCGCCCCCCACCCCGCCCCCCCCCCAACCGCAAAAAATCCTTTATAAGCCTCTCCCCCTCCTCCCAGTTCCTGTCTATAACACCATCTGCGTGTTTCAGACGTGCCGGTTCGACATGGCGGCCCTCGAGTCCTCCAAAAAGGACATCAACCTTCTGGCCGGCGGTGCGGGGTTTGACGACAGCTTCCTTCCGAACGGCGTGTGGGACGTGACAGGCGTCTCCAGCTTCTCCCTCACCTCCGTGTCCGCCTCCGCCGAGTTGGAACTCTCCAGCGTCCTCGTGGAGATCAAACTCACCCGGCGACCGGCCTATTACATCATCAACATCCTACTTCCTGTGGTCATCCTCTCTGTCCTGGCTCAACTGACCTTCGTGGTGCCGGTGGAGAGCGGCGAGCGTCTGTCCTACACGCTGACTGTTCTCCTGTCGCTGTCCGTGTACTTCACGTCTGTAGCTAGCATCATGCCGCAGTCGTCTGTCATCATCCCTGTCATTATGCGCTACCTCGCCGCGCTCTTCATCATCAACTCGCTCTGCATCATCGCCACCCTTCTCGTCATCGCGATACGATGGAGCCACGTCCACATCGCGACTGACGACCACCGGAAGGTCATTCACATCTTCGCCATCCCGGTCACAGTCCCATCTCACACACGTCACACCAAGGTTCAAGCTCTGAAGGCTGGCTATCAAAGTCAAAATGAGAACATCTGGAAAACATCTGCTGATCTAAAACCTGAAATAACCTCCGACAGGCAGGAAAACGACCGACTAGGAACGACGACCATGAGAAGGTTAATGGCTAACAGAAATGTCTCCTCGTCTGCGGGTTTTCCTCCTCTAAACCAACAAGACGTCGACGCAGATTTTGGAAGTAGGTCAAATCAAGCTTCGCGAGCGCCGGCCTTGACCCCGGACAATGGCGACGGCCATGACGTCGTTGACCCGGATGTGGCTCGTCTGGCAACCCGTGTCAACAATATGGGGTTCATCGGCACTGTGGTGGCCTTTCTGTTGGTCTCTGTCTACGCTTTCGTGGCCATGCAAGATCCGGAGCTCTGAGCATGTGCACTCACATCACAACGCCAGCACTGATCATGGGCACACACAACCCGGAGCTCTGAGCATGTGCATTCACATCACAACCCCAGCACTGATCATGGGCACACACAACCCCGAGCTCTGAGCATGGGCCCACACAACCCCAGCACTGAGCATGCAAACACACAACCCCAGCACTGAGCATGCAAACACACAACCCCAGCACTGAGCATGCAAACACACAACCCCAACACTGAACATGCAAACACACAACCCCGGCACTGAACACGCAAACACACAACCCCGGCACTGAGCATGCAAACACACAACCCCAGCACTGAGCATGCAAACACACAACCCCAGCACTGAGCATGCAAACACACAATCCCAGCTCTGGGCATGGGCACACAACCCCAGCACTGATCATGCAAACACACAACCCCAGCACTGAGCATGCGCGCACACAACCCCAGCTCTGAGCATGCACACACACTACCCGAGCTCTGAGCATGCGCACACGTCTCCTGTCACGGGCATCGGCAGCACAAAGACAGGACTTACTGCACAGTTAATTAATTACTTGACTCTGGAATTGACGCTACCCGCAGAGGGTCATTTTAATTGGAAATTATATAACGCCAAAGTAATCGACCAGAATAATTAATATTTTTACAAGCAATTAAACAATTCATCGTCAAGTTATCTTTTAATGGGTTATCTGTTTGTGTTTTTAAAAACTGCTTTGTACAAGTACCTCACTACCATGCCATAACTCCCTTGCATACATTCAATATAGGAAGAGGCTAGCCGTACTTAATGACGGCTAGACTGTTAGGCTAGCCGTACTTAATATTGATGGCTGAATTGTAAATGAAATGTTTAGTTTGCAATGCCTAAAGTATTTGTATTTCAGACAAAACCAAAAGGTGCCTTACTGACTTGCATGTATTTGAACCTGAATAATTACTAGATCTAGATCTAATGAGACCTGTGTACTTAACAGGCTTGAGTCGATAGGGCCAAACTTAGATCTAAGTACGGCTAGCCACTTCGTTCAATATATGTGAGGCAGCGTGGTGGAATCAGGCTCTCGTCTATTTTTGGGCATGTAGAGTTATTGGTATCATCTTAAAGCTTGTTCACTTGGCTTTATTTGGAAGAAAAAAATTTCCTTTTTATCTTGAACGCAAGTCGAGATGTTTGTAAAAGAAAGAGTTTGGGGTCATCTCTTTTCAGAGGTAAAACTAGTGAGAAAATGGCCGCCAAAGATTAGTTATTTCCTTAGATTGAGAGTCCGTGGTAATTGAAAATGTACATTTTGTGTGCCTTTAATCAACGTTTTTCTGAAAAATCCACACAGAAATGAGTTCTTTAGTGGGCATGAAAGGCATTAAGACAAAAAACCAAAAAAAATGATAAAAATTTTAAAAAACCTGCGGAAAAATGCAAGTTTCTTCACTTTGATTATTTTGACGAGAGCCTGATTCCACCACGCTACCTCACATATTTTTTCTTCCTCTTGAACAGTATTTGAAAGTCTAACTAAACATCCTAAAACTTTAACAAACACCCAAATCCAACAAGACAACGAAAAGGAAATTCTACGTTCTACCCCTGAAATCAAGATGAAAACGAATAGTCAGACTGATGACCCACTCAAGCTGTTTCCACGCGCAGAGGGGAGGCCTCAATAAATCACAGACTGGCATTACTGTCGAACCTGTGAAAGACGGCCATGCAGTGTTGAGGACAAAAGTGGCCGTATAATTAATACAGGTGGCCGTCACACGCAAGACTGATCAAAATGAAGAAAACATAATAATAATAATAATAATAAATAGCATTTGTATAGCGCATATCCCCGCTCAACAGCAGGCTCTATGCGCTTTACACTATATTATTACCCCAGCAGACCATAGAACACTCCGAAACATTCTCAGCTTCCCGGGAAGCATACAGTGCAAGCAGCTGATTAAGCGCTCAAACACTAACAAACTGACAAGATATTTCGTTGTCTATAGCCGGGTACCCATTCCCACCTGGGTGAAGTGAGGAAATACCATTTACTTGTGAGGTCCCAAATGGAGGTGGCCACAGGCTTAAGACTGCTGTAGGGTTCATTGAAATTTTGTTGTTGTTTTTTTCTTTTGAAAAAAAAGAGGGGGGGGGGATAGGACGGTTTTTGTGGGATCTTTTTGTTGTTTGTTTTGTTGTTTTGTTTTTTAAATAATCATGGTTCTGTGAAAGGCCAAAACAAAATAAAATAAGTCAGACGGTGAAGGCCAAGTGCCAAAGTAAAACAAACAATTGTGTCGGCGCCACTCGGAGAACGAGCGATACTTCTGTCGCCAGTTTGTGTTGACTTCCATTGTTATGGACTGGGTTTACAGACTGAGTTGTGGGCGGGGCTTATAGGTTATGACGGATTGTTGTTGTTAGCGATCCAGTAGCATCTGAGCGTTAACTCTTCTGCATGATGCCATTCGGTAATAGTTGCATGTTTGTTCTAATTGTTGTCTTGAGGAGTAGAGGCAATTAGATGTGTGGGGTAGCTTGGGAAGAAAACATCCACTTAAATCAGTTAGTTTTCTACAGAAGAACAGATGATGTTCCACTGTTATGACGGATTACACGCTTCCTTTCCTTGCAGCTGAAAATTTCTTGTTACTCTTTGGTCAACTTGGGTAAACATTGGGAGCGACCTAAGCAACATGACCGTTTCATTCATTGGAGGGACTGACAATAACGACAGGCGAATGGAGGGACTGACAATAACGACAGGTGAATGGGACATTGGAGGGACTGACAACGACGACGGGGGAATGTATTATGACGGCTTGTCCACAGCGTTAGGGGAAAATACTGGCCGTCTCAGGAAGGTAAGTTTGACAGTGGGTTGATAAAATAGGGTAGCCGCGGCCGCGTTGGACTGGTGACCATTTTACACAGTGGAATTCTTACTTACTTTTTTACTTTTTTTTCTTCCGCTTATACCCTGGGGTGTCGCGGGGAGACACAGGTGTCTGTCTGCAGCAAGTTGTGTGGCCTGTAGGAGGGACATCCCATGATCAGTTGATCGTTGTCCATTTTTCTCGCCAGGTCGTTTTCCGTTTTGATCAGTCCGTTTGTGTCTCCTTATGTTTTCTTGAGCAATGTTTATATCCACTGCCGGCCTGCTAAGCCAGTCGCAGTTTCACCAGAGCCCCGTTGGCCAGCAACGTTTTGGGGTGACCCGGGTCGGCCTTCATGGCTAGCGTAACGCCTCAGTGACATAAAGTCACACCGTACTTCACCCAGACCCAGCTATCCCCTACTTTGTCCTGTTTCCATCTCCCACGGCGTGGACGAGGGGTTGGACTTCGAGAGACAGTCTATAGTGGAATTCTATAGAATAAAAACGCATTTTTATATATATATTTTTTTTGGGGGGGGTGGGGATAGAACGTGACAGTTTGTGCTGGTGGCCGTATTATACAAGTGGCCGTCATTGCAGGTTCGACTGTGTTTAGAAAATGGCATTTTGTAACTGTGAGTGTAGAGTGTAGCCCCCTTGTTTTAGACCCCCAGTGTTGAACATTGTGTCACTTTAAACACAAATGGGATGATAGACAATCGGTGATTGACTTTACGGAAGTAGAGTCTGTCTGTCTTCATGGGTTGGAAGAGCACTCACCTTTTCACACAGCACTGCATAACATCCAAACTTTGTCCCCCAGGGTTTTAAAAAAAGTACAGTGAAAAGCGGGCAGTTTTCAATAATGTTGAAAAAACACAGTAATGAGATGTTCGAGGTCATGAATTATGGATTTCCCCAATGCCTCATGTACTTTTACATGCAGACTTTGCCTTCTATCTCAATCTAAAATAGGCAGGACAACAATAGAGACGTGTGACATGCTTTATTTCTTTCTAAACACAAGTTGGAAACAATGAACTGTCTCCCCGAGAGCTAAAGAATTCATTTAATGAGAGTTCTTGACGTCTCCACCGAAGCTCTTTCCAATATAATTTGTGAGGCATCAGGATCAAATCAGGCACTCGTGAAAATAATAAAAAATAAATGGGGAAAAAACCCAGCATTTTCCCGCGTGTTTCGCAATATTTATCCAATATTTAAAAATGAATTGTTTTTGCTCAACGTCTTTTATGTCCATTTAAAAACACATTTCTGTGTGGATTTTACTTAAAGATGTCGATCAAAGGCACAGAAAATGTAAATTAGCAATATACAGGCACTCAAGCTTTGGAGATCACCAATCTTTGGAGGCCGTTTTCTCGCTAATTTTTACCTTTGAAACTAGGCGACCCCACCTCCTTCAATTGCAAATATCTCGACTGCTATTCAAGATAGCCGAATAATTTTCCTTCCAAAGATAGACAAATGAACAAGCTTTAAGCTGATACCAATAACTCCATACGCCAAAATACTGACGAGCGCCTGATTCCACCACGCTGTGAAACGTTTAGACGTTGGTAATCGACTCGTCCTGTGGGGCCAAGCACAAACGGCGTTTATGCAAGTCTCGTCCCCAGCGATATCTGATAGCGAGCTGACTCAAGTGAGTGGTGGGCAATTAGGTTCCCGATTATTCAAAGCTAGGAATCGTAGGAATCGAACCCGAACCCAATTCCTTTCTAATGATGTGATGTCTCCCGTGGTTACCCTAAGGTCTTCTCCGAACAACATTATTCAGGATTTAGGATAACCTTGATTTCGGAACACTGCGAAGCACCAACACTTTTTTTTTCTTTAAACTTAAATTTTGAAGAAACAAAAGATTTTAATGAACAAAGTACAAGTAGCTGCTAACCGTTGATTTACATGATAAAAAGGAATCGGAAGTTTTCTGCAGGTAGCACTAATAGCGGGACTCTGCCTCAGAATCGATTCTTCGCCCAGCTCCAGGCTCACACATGGGCATTATGCAGTAATGGTCTTCTGTTGTGCCCAAATAACAAAATATATTATACAATTGCGTCGTTGCCACTCAGAGATCGGGGCGGCGGTAAACAAACAGCTAGTGTTGTTTTCCATAGATATGGGGGGGGGGGGGGGGGGGGGCGATATGCGTCCCAACATGCAGGATAGACTGGGAGAGTAGAGAACAGACGACAAAAATTAAATACGAACGGTTGGATGTTAACAATAAAATTAAATCCCCTCCCCCCTCCCTCTTTCTATCTCCCCCTCCCCCCTCTCTCTCTCTCTTTCTTTCTTTCTCTCTCTCTCTCTTTGTCTCTCTCTCTCTCTGTCTCTCTCTGTCTCTGTCTCTGTCTCTGTCTCTGTCTCTCTGTCTCTCTCTCTCTCTCTCTCTCTCTCTCTCTCTCTCTCGCTCTCTCTCTCTCTCTCTCTCTCTCTCTCTCTCTCTCTCTCTCTCTCTCTCTCTCTCTCTCTCTCTCTCTCTCTCTCCTTGAACCTCGTTAAAAAACTATGTTAATAATGCACTATCTGAAAACACTCATTCATAAGCACCAGAGAATGCCACAATTTACCTGCACTTTCTGCTGGTCAGACTGACTTTCTCAGACCCGCTCAGTTCTCTTATATAATAATACATTAAATAGCGCGCTCTGCCGGGTTCTGGCACAAATCCCTTTACAGTGCAGCCTCTCTATAACGACCTTCGATATAACGACATCCTCTGTATAGCAACATGGCGCCCAGGTCCCGATTTTTTTCTTTATAATATATCATCTATTATATATTTGACAACTTGGAAACATGTGTGTCACTTTTCTCTCAAGATGTATTGCTCCATTCCAGTAGAGTGTAAATATAGTAGGCCAATGACTTTCAGTTGATGTTAATGCACCGATCATTCCTTTCATCGAAAGGGGGCCCAGCCAGTTAGTAATATTTTAGTTGCCTCTCTTATAACGATAATTCTCAATAACGACATTTTTTGTGGTCCTGACGATGTCGTTATTGAGAGGCTGCATTGTATCTGTATTCCAATAGAAGGTGTCAGCCCGTGGACCTAGTTCGGTGGGGCTCTCGTGATCTAGAGGTCAAAGTGTTCGCCTCTTTTTCAATAAGTCCGGGGTTCGAAACCTTAGAGCGACGGAAAATGTTCTTCTCTGATAATTATGTTCTCCTTTCACTTACTTAATTGTCTGCTCTCTGACCATGGCCTGTCATCTGCTTTCGTCTCCACTTTCTACCCCCCCCCCCTTTCCTCCCTTTGTCCCCTCCTCTGGGGTCCTGATTTTTTCTGCAGCCTTTGTACTCCTACTCCTTGGCTCCTTCTTACAGCTGTCTTTCAGCCACACCTCTGATCTTTGGGTAGGTAAGATCTAACACCTAACATTCTCGGATTAGGTCGAACAATATTGGAGGTCCCGTGTGTACGTATATATTTATTATGTACAGCTCTGCCGTGATCTGACAAAACGCATTTTTTCTTTTTGGCTGGAATTTTTTTTATTCCACTAATGAATTCTACATGTCGAAAACCAAATTGAGATATAATTATGAAAGCCGAACTGCGACTAGTTTTTAAATAAATTAGCTTTTTAGATTTGTTAAAACGCATTTATTTCCAATGTGATCTGATGAAACAAATTTTTTTCAGAGATGATCTGACAAAACGTATTTTTTTTCTTCTGAGATCTGATAAAACGCATTTTTCTTCCCGAGATTGACAAAAAAATGCGTTTCATCAGATCACAGTTGAGCTGTAGTTAAGGTTGTCGTAACTGTCATACCTGACTTTTCTTCTTTAACTGCTATACGTCATCATTACTTGCTGATGGACACACACAAAAAACGTAAAAATTTTCACGACTCACTTTTTGTGATAAAGAAATGACAGTCTTTGTCCGAAAATTAATGATGTGTTTATTTGTTCATAACCCGCGTACATTTCGGTGATGAAATGTTCAGAAATAAAATGCACTAGCCATGGAGTGAAATGATGGCTCATCGAAGAATAAGATATCTATGTGTAAATGAGTTTTTCAAGAATGTCGTGTTTATTTGACATACAAAATCAGTAGAAAAATGATTTGGTCAATTGCTCTGATGATGAGGCTTAGTTAAGTACTGCAATATCACTGTTATGTCAGAGATCTTTATGGCGTGAGTAGAACTGTACAGGCGAAACAGATTTTAAAAGACCCTTTCCCACACCCCCTCTGACTTTTACAATTTATTGAACAAATGTTCAAGGATGAGGTTAACTACAACAAAAAACCAAAGATTGGTTTGTAAGAATTGTCATTTTTGAGAAACGACACGAAACAACATCACAGTAGCAAGAGGCCGCACCTATTGATGTTCTGATGTGTCCTCCCACTTTTAGGGGATATCCACTTTTTTGTCTGAGTGGAGATAGTCTGTTTGATTACTCTTAAAGTCGCCTTTTATTAAGGGAGTGTTCAAGGGCACATTTTATTAAGGGAGAGTTCTCGAGGGCACATTTTTATTAAGGGAGCGCCGTGGACATGTCATTTGGGTGGTTCATCTGACCTCTAGTGTTGAGAGAAAAAAACGAATGAAAAGAAAGAAGGCAGGGCCGATAGATCAGAGCTACGTTCACTACGGTTCACACAGGAACACATCTGGATGTATCATTTCTATGTGCTCGAGTATGTTGTCCACGTTGTGGTTGATCGATCCACTTTTTGCCTTGAGTGCAGCAGTCCTGTTTATCTTACCCCGACCCATCGAAGCTTTTATAGAAAAGATATTATATGTGTGAGGCGTGCTGACAACATGAGTTACTTCTCGCATTTCACAAATGGAGATATTAGTCAAAACTCGACACTAGAGTCAAATTTGAAGATTTTTCTATCGATGCTATATTCCTTAACTTTAAGTATAACATGCCTTGTATTATTTCTATTTATAAATTGTAAAAACTTCACCTATATATATAGGTGTATATAGATCTATAGAGATACGAGTATATACAGATATATAGAGAAGTGTCCAACCTTAAGGCTTGAATCCGAGAAGTAACTCATTTTGTCAGCACGTTTCGTATATCAAGCTAAGCCTGTTATTGAACATCGAATGCTACATTACCCAAAATGATAGGTATAATAAATTATATTTCTATGGTTACGAACAAAGTTTATGTAGTACATGCAATAAAAACCAATATGGCAGATAGACGTCGATTTTCGATTCACTTCATGTGACGTTTGATTGGTCGCTTTTAAGGACAAGCACGCTAATCCAGATTTCGGGGGTTTCCAGAAATCTTGACCTGCACCAAAAGTGGGCATTGCCCTACCTATAGGAGAAGTTTGGTTTAATTGGCGTGTATATTTGTTTGGTTATAGACAAAACACTCCTCGTCTTTTAACGAAACTGAACAAGGGTCCAAAAACTTTAACTTCGATTTTTCTCAAAGCAGCATTTTCTGGGACAACCCCTTGTGCTTAAAAGCGACCAATGTATTGTTCCCATTGCACCTTCCGTTCCTACCCCTGTGCCAAAAAAACAATATTGAACTATGATGAGTCACCTCCCCTGTCATGGTTCCGCCTGTTTCGATTCCTCCGAGTTTTCTTTCGTTTCCGCCGGTGCGTCGGTTTTTTCCGCCGGCGGTTGACCTTCCGGTTTTGAGTCGTCTGCTTTTTTTGCCTCTTCCGGTTTGGACTCCACTTCCTTCCCTTCCTCTGGGATCGGTTCTACGACTAACTCAGGCTCAAACTTTTCTTCTTTGAGTGACAGCATGGAGGCCCGCCCCTCCCCTCCCTGTTGGTTACCGACTTTAGTGGGCGGGGGAGGGGGCGGTCCTCCGTCTGTCATCTTGGACATGGTCGTCCCCTCCCTCATGGGCGCCGGCATGACGGCGTAGCAGTCTGTGTACATGGGCGGGTCTTCTCGGGGTGCTGGCTCCTGGATGGGCGGTCCGGCCGGGGTTGTGGCGATCACCGTCACTCGGGATGGGTCGCCTGTTTGGATTTGTTGGGGGGGAGGGGGGGGGAGCGGGGAGAGAGGGGGGGGGGGAGTGGGAGGGGTGGGTTCAGAGAAAGGAAAGTATGAGGCTCTGATCTTCTTTACGGTTTTGGACACACATAGACCTGTGAATGCTCATACACAATACATAAACACACGCTCATACTCACTCGCACGCACTTACACACACATGTATACCTACACACATATGTGAGGCAGCGTGGTGGAATCAGGCTCTCGTCAATTTTGGGGCATGTAAAGTTACTGGTATCATCTTAAAGCTTGTTCACTTGTCTTTATTTGGATGGAAAAAAAGAAGGAGGTGGAGGTCACTGGTTTTCAGAGGTAAAATTAGTGAGAAAATGGCTGCCAAAGATTAGTTATTTCCTTTGCTTAAGAGTTCGTGGTAACTGAAAATTTACATTTTTTGTGCCTTAAATCAACTTTTTTCAGAAAAATCCACACGGAAATGAGTTCTTTAATGGGCATGAAAGATGTTGTAGAGCCAAAAAGCAAAAATTTGATAAAAAATCATAAACCTGCTGAAAAATGCAAGTTTCTTCACTTTGATTATTGTGACGAGAGCCTGATTTCACCACGCTGCCTCACATAGACATACATCATGTACATACATATAACACCTATGTGTATGTGTGTCATTGAGAGGACACGAAAACAGACAAAAATAGTATACTTTATATGGGCTATTACTGATGTGAAGAGACTTTTTGAAAACGAACGAACACCCTGTGAATACTATATTAAGAGCTTTCCTCCTTCCTCAATTTGATTTCATACTCTTTAAAACTACATTTCCAACGATAAGGAATGTTTTTAAAAAAGGTCAGAATATGAACGAACTATTCTTTAAAATTCTATTAGCATTGAAGGTTTTAAAATTTAAAACCTGTAGCAAAGTGATAATATTTTACTACTTTGTTTTAAATAGAAATATTAAAAAACAAAAAACAACAACAACTCCTTTTTGTAAACAGGCTGACATGATTGTTCTTGGTGGTCACATAGAGATGTAAAAGTGAAGTGTGCATGCAGTAATAACTGTAGCTAGCTTCTCATTGTGAGAGCAAACAGGGCTAGCCAGCTATCACATGTGCGTATAAACAACACGACATAAAACTAATACTTATTTATAACACATGAACGCAACACATGCAATACAATAACACATTCATGCAAAATACATACGTCATACCAGTAACTAGCGCACGACACAGACAAATGACGTAATACACACCTAATCGATACGCATTACTGCTACTTAATAACAGTCACACCTGAGCTACATAATAACAGTCACACATAAGCATACAATTAACGCATACAAGAGGGACAGTAATAACACATATGCATGAAGCACAGAATTGATTGGCACAAGCAATAAATATCTCAAGCGCATAACAGAGAGAAATCGCTACCTCAGAATTACAAAGCTCTATCTGCTCAGTACGTGTACCTAGTTTTGAGAAATTTGACGTAAAAAATATTGAGTTTCACAACATTGTCAAGCTTTTTCGAATGCAGTTCTTTGAACTTCTTGATAAAGTCTGCGAATAATCTTACAATTTTGATAGAGCAGACAGACGGTTGGTATCTGACCTGATGGTCTGAGCAACTCAAAAAGGCCAAAAATGTCAGATAGAACTTTGTAATTCTAAAGTAGTGGAGAAGGACTTCCGTCACGAGCGACCACCCCATCAAACACAATGAAGAAGAGGCCTAGATCAAAGCCTACCCCTACCCCTACCCCTAACCCTACCCCTAACCCTTCCCCTACCCCTACCCCTACCCCTTACCCTAACCTTACCCATACCCCTAACCTTAACCCCCTAACCCTAACCCTACCCCTACCCCTACCCTTACCCCTACCCTACCCTACCCTAACCCTACCCCTACCCCTACCCCTACCCCTACCCCTAACCCTACCCCTACCTCTACCCCTACCCTTACCCCTAACCCTACCCCTACCCCTACCCCTACCCTACCCCTACCCCAAGCCCTCAATTCTGCTCTGTCTCATAGTGGTCGATCGTTACGGAAGTCCTCCCAGTAGGTGGAATGCAACCTATACCGCTGGCCAGTATGATACAACTAGATGGGCCCCCTTCCGATGAAAGGAATGATCGGTGCATTAACATCAACAGAAAAGCATTGGCCTACTATATTTACACTCTACTGAAATGGAGCAATAAATCTTGAGAGATGTAAAAATAGATTTAGAAGGGTCTAGATCTATACTCTCAAAACAAAATGCGCCTCGCGAAATGTCACTTCCGGCACTTCCGCTGTTAAGGACAGCTTTGCAGATTTGTTTCGTTTCTCAGTGGGATAATCACAGCGGCCAAAGAAGGACGGGAATTTTTTCTCAAATATATATTTTTTTAAAATTCAGGATATGAATAAATAAAAAAATCGGGCACCTTCATGGGGACCTATCTATCTTTTGGGAGCCTAGGTACTTGCTAACTTTCAACTCTGTAGCTGTCCTAGTTTTACAGGAAAGTGACAAATGTGTTTCCAAGTTGCCAAATATAATAATATGATATATTATTATTATTATTATTATTATTATTATTATTATTATTATTATTATTATTATTATTATTATTATTATTATTATTATTATTATTATTATTATTATTATTATTATTTTTATTATTATTATTATTGTTATTATTATTGTTATTGTTATTGTTATTATTAGAACAGACGAGAATGTTACTGGCCAAGGAACCACATATCGAGCTAATGGCAGGGAGAAGGGAAAAAAAGAAGAATCGAACGATTAAAAAAAGTTCTTCGAAACGAACTGTTTCGGGTAAGTATATTAAATAGTATGTCTCTCTCTCTATAGATATGCAATTGAAGAGGTTTGATATCCCTTGCAACACTGTAAGGTTATTTAAGAACGTTAGAGTAAGCTTGCTGATATAATAACATGTGAGGCAGCGTGGTGGAATCAGGCTCTCGTCAAAATAATCAAAGTGAAGAAACCTGCATTTTTCCGCAGGTTTGTGAATTTTTATCTAATATTTGTTTTTTGACTCAACACCTTTCATGCCCATTTAAGAACTCATTTCTGTGTGGATGTTTCTGAAAAACGTTGATTAAGGGTACAGAAAATGTAAATTTTTAGTTACCACGGACTCTTAAGCTAAGGAAATAACTAACCTTTAGCGGCCATTTTCTCACTAATTTTACCTCTGAAAACAGGTGACCTCCACCTCCTTCTTTCGTAAATATCTCGACTTGTGTTCAATATAAATGGATACTTTTTTCATCCAAATAAAGACCAGTGAACAAGCTTTAAGATGATACCAATAACTCTACAAGCCCAACAATTGACGAGAGCCTGATTCCACCGCGCTGCTTCACAAATGGTAAAAACTGGAAAAGCAACTTCTTTTAATATAAAAAGCGAATGAAATGCATGCGTTTTACAGAAGGAGAGACACGAATCCAGTAAAAAAAATAAATAATAATAATAATAAAAAAGATATGTATATTATATAAAGATCTATGTACCAAGTGACGTGAATGTCATTAACAGTTAGGGAAGGTTCACTATCGTTTTTTCCTCAGCGGCCCCACTCGCACAATGCCTGTGAAGGTCAAGGTCATGAATCAGTTGATAATTGTCAGAATACAGTCCTAAAAAGTGGAATTATTTTCCTTAGAGTAGAGTTGATAAAGGACTGCTTTTTTAGTAAGGTTTTACGGCGCTCGCAACTGCATAAGGTCATATTTTGAGCGCCAAAGGGTGGATGTCAACAGAGAAGTCCTAACGGGGAATTAGGCTTACTACGCTCACCTCTCTAGCCTCAACAGCACAAAGTCTGCTTCGACTATCAAGGCACTCCGGAAAAAGTAGTTCACAAGAGAGTGACTAACATACAAAAGAAGTAGAGGCAAATGACGATAGTAAGGATGAGGAAAGAAAAAGCAGCAGTTCTCTGTTGCAGTTCAGGCACAGTTATAAGCATGACATTGATGAATCAGCCCATTTACAATTGCATACTCATAGTAAGTAAACACGTTTTTGCCCTAGTTTTTTTTTTAGTTTCAGGTAAAGAAAACAGAACTGACAAATCTGTATGACTATCGAAATTTTGCTTCAAAACAACGCGCCATCAGTGTTGCCGAAAGACCAGAATAGCACGTGTCTTCAGTGAGTTAACGTTAAGCCATGCACTGTCTGAGCCTCGCAGTTTTTTTTACCTGTATTTTTTATTTTTTTTTTTTAGTGGGGGGTCTTTTTTTTTTAGTGACATCGATATATTTTATGACAGATTACCAATATACCACCCAAAGACCCAATTCCCCTCTGCGTTTTACTTGGTTTGGGATAATTTCTGTCACCCTGAACGTGAAGTTGTCTATCTATGAAAACACCTTCGTCATCTGTTTGAGTAATACAACACTCTAGCTTTGTGTAAGCCGTGATTGATCGAGGAGAGGGGGATGATATAATCATCGTCGAGAGAGGGATGATATAATCATTGCTAATACACATTCCATCTGTCGTTGTGCGAAGCATGGACAATCAATAAACAGCTGGAAAGAACAATTGTGGCGACAGAGTTGTGGTTCATAAGACGCATGCTGCGTATCCCATGGACAGCTAGAAAAACAAATGAAGAAGTCTTGGTTGAAGCAAATTGTAGAAGACAGCTTATGGCGAATATAACAAAGCGACTGGAAAATTTCTTCGGACACACAATGCGGAAAGAAGCATTGGAGAATATTGTAACAACAGGCAAGTTTGATGGAAAGAGAGGCAGAGGCAGACAGAGGG